TAGATTTTTCTATTCAGCCTACTTCGCATTATAACCGAAGATGACAGCATTTCAACTCATTACTAATTGAATTATTCCTATAACACTGGGTGTTAATATTTCAAAACACCAGGCCACATATTCTCGAAACAATCAAGTGATAGGATATCCTAGAATCAATATTAGAAGATAAGAAGCTAGGATATCCTAGAATCAATGTTAGAAGATAGTAACCTAGGATATCCTAGAATCAATGTTAGAAGATAAGAACCTAGGATGTCCTAGAATCAATGTTAGAAGTTAAGAACCTAGGATATCCTAGAATCAATGTTAGAAGATAAGAACCTAGGATATCCTAGAATCAATGTAAGAAGATAAGAACTAGGATATCCTAGAATCAATGTTAGAAGTTAAGAACCTAGGATATCCTAGAATCAATGTAAGAAGATAAGAACCTAGGATATCCTAGAATCAATGTTAGAAGATAAGAACCTAGGATATCCTAGAATCAATGTTAGAAGATAAGAACCTAGGATATCCTAGAATCAATGTTAGAAGATAAGAACCTAGGATATCCTAGAATCAATGTAAGTTATAGAAATATCAAAACAGACCCTGAAACATGTCTTTACTCAGAGTTATAGAAATATCAAAACAGAACCTGAAACATGTTTTTACTCAGAGTTATAGAAATATCAAAACAGAACCTGAAACATGTTTTTAATCTCAATTATAGAAATATCAAAACAGAACTTGAAACATGTTTTTACTCAGAGTTATAGAAATATCAAAACAGACCCTGAAACATGTTTTTACTCAGAGTTATAGAAATATCAAAACAGAACCTGAAACATGTTTTTACTCTCAGTTATAGAAATATATAAACAGATATCCTAGGAATCAATGTTAGAAGATACGAACCTAGGATGTCCTAGAATCAATGTTAGAAGATAAGAACCTAGGACATCCTATAATCAATGTTAGAAGATAAGAACCTAGGATGTCCTAGAATCAATGTTAGAAGATAAGAACCTAGGATGTCCTAGAATCAATGTTAGAAGATAAGAACCTAGGATGTCTTAGAATCAATGTTAGAAGATAAGAACCTAGGATGTCCTAGAATCAATGTTAGAAGATAAGAACCAAGGATGTCTTAAATCAATGTTAGAAGATAAGAACCTAGGATATCCTTGAATCAATGTTAGAAGATAGGAACCTAGGATATCCTAGAATCAATGTTAGAAGATAAGAACCTAGGATGTCCTAGAATCAATGTTAGAAGATAAGAACCTAGGACATCCTATCGCTGAGATCGTTTCCAGAATAAATAACCATTATCCTGCCCAGTAAAAATCTTACAATCATTTCGTAATATTAATTTTTCATAAAAGGTAAAATTCTACGGTAATTGAACAGTTTGGACTGACCTTTAAAAGTTTTTCTGCAGTTCTGACAGCCATTTGTTCACTATCCAGTTTCTCTCTCTCTGTAGCACTGTTACTATAAATAAACAATTATAAATCCTTCCTAATCCAACTTTATAATCCAAAATATTGATCCATTGATCCACTTGTGTTTAGTTTTACAGACAGGGACAGTATGTTGTAAGTGCATTTGTCAAGGGTATTTCGTTATATGGTTATCATGAAAGAAACGTCTTTCATAACACTGTCCCTCACCAGTAAAACCTGTCCTTCCCTCAGATTTAAAACCTGACCCTCACAAGTAAAACCTGACCCTCACAAGTAAAACCTGTCCCTCACAAGTAAAACCTGTCCCTCACCAGTAAAACCTGTCCTTCCCTCACAAGTAAAACCTGTCCTTCCCTCACAAGTAAAACCTGTCCCTCACAAGTAAAACCTGTCCCTCACAAGTAAAACCTGTCCCTCACCAGTAAAACCTGTCCTTCCCTCAGATTTAAAACCTGTCCCTCACAAGTAATATCTGTCCCTCACAAGTAAAACCTGTCCCTTAAATGTAAAACATTTCCCTCCTTAAGATGTAAAATCTGTCCATCTTTCAGATGTAAAACATGACCTCCACAGGTAAAACCTGTCTCTCACAAGTAAAACATGATCTTCAATTGTAAAACCATTCCCTCAAATGTAAAACCTGTCCCCTCCCTCAGATGTAAAACATGACCCCCAACTGTACGGCTGGTTTCTAGGAATAAAGAACTTGACATGTTTAAACAGAATTATAACCCATGTACATCATATCAGGTTATAGGATAGCTTGCCAGGCAAGGTAACATACGCCCACTGGCAGCTGTCAGAAATGATTAAACAGTCTTTAGTGACTACAGGGTTGCACAATATAGCTAATAGAGTGAAACGTCAAGTCAGACACGATATTTCGGTGAAAAATTATCCGATCATCGCGAAAATCGATAGGGATCATCTTCATAATGACATTGACATACAAAATAAAAATCAAAAGAATCTGTAAAGAATTGTAGCCTGTAGAGTGAGCACGAGCTGCACAATATAGCTAATAGAGTAAAACGTCAGGTCAGACACGATATTTCGGTGAAAAATTATCCGATCATCATGAAAATCGATAGATCATCATGAAAATCAATAGGGATCATCTTCATAACAACATAGACATACAGAATAAAAATCAAAAGAATCTGTAAAGAATTGTAGCCTGTAGAGTGAGCACGAGTTGCACAATATAGCTAATAGAGTAAAACGTCAGGTCAGACACGATATTTCGGTGAAAAATTATCCGATCATCACGAAAATCAATAGGGATCATCTTCATAATGACATTGACATACAAAATAAAAATCAAAAGAATCTGTAAAAAATTGTAGCCTGTAGAGTGAGCACGAGTTGCACAATATAGCTAACAGAGAAAAACGTCAAGTCAGACACGATATTTCGGTGAAAAATTAT